GCATTGTATGACTTGTGTAACTGGTGTAACATTGTATGACCTGTGTAACTAAGGCACAGTCAGGGATTAGGGTTGTGTAGTAAAGTGTGGTGGTGGTCCAACATCTCTCCCAGTTTGACTCAGCCATTTTGTTTCACTGCAACCCTTAAAAGATCATGTATATCTTCATGCAGCCTTCCAGCACTTGTCTGCATTTGAGACAGCATTTGATGAACTGCTGGGTTTGGTTTCCAATGAGATGAAGCTAAAGCTGAGGAGAGCCTGGAACCTGCTTTGGAAGTAGGAATACAACTGTCAGTTTGGGTACAGACTTTTCCAAGGCCAGATAAGACAATCAGGCTGTGACATCTGTGAGCTGGACCACATAAGCTCCTCAAAAAGCTAAGCATACTCTCCTCCAGCTCCCAAGCTTTTGTCCCAAGTTTCCTATCTTTCTGCACACGTCAGTGGTCAAACCCAGGTGGTTCTGCCCCTACACCATTCTCTAGGTCATTATGCACACAGACCTACCACCATCATCAACCAAAGTAGGTACATCATTATACAAAATCTGACAGACACAGCAGAGCTCTTGCAAGAGCTTGGTGAAAATGCTGCTGAGGCTTTGTGAAGGTTAAGATACATCGTGAACCAAAACACTGGAAAAGGAAAGGCAAAAGGGAAAACCAAGAGGGGATGTAAGATGAAAACATTGAGCCAATATCTGATGGCAGGAGAAGAGTAAATAGTAAGGATTTCTGGGAAAGAGTTCAAGAACAACCTGAAAAACAGCCTTTCACCTCTGTGATGTATCTCTAATTGGATTATTGTCTGTTCTTCAGATTAGACTAGTTTAGAAAGGGTTCAAAAAAAGGCTGACAAACATGCCCAAAGACATGGCATATCTATGTGAAGAACAATTAAAATAAAGTGCATTTTCCTGCAAAACAGAGATGACTGAGGAATAACATGACAGAGGATGATAAAATCAAGAGTGTCAGGGAGAAGATGAATATGGATGATTGTTCACTATTTCTCATAACACAGGAGCTAAATGACATCAAATCCAATTATCAAAATGAACTAAGTGAGGTAATTCTTCACATGGCACAAACTTAAATTGCAGAACTTATTGCAAGATATTGCATCTGCCAAAAGATTATAGGGGTTAGAACAGTAATGAGGTGCTTTCATGGTAAAGAAGTCTATCAAGGGCATTGGGAAGCATTTATATAATCTCTGATCCAAAAAATCCCTGAGACAGAGACTGTTATCTGCTAGGAGAATATTTCAAGTAATACCATGGTAGGCTTTTTCTTCACCTATATTCTTAACATAGTTCCTACTGTCACAGAACAGTTACTCAGCAAAAAAAGACCTATTCTGATACAGGTATTTGTATGCCCTCTTTGCTTGGACATTAGTTAGCCCATCCATGCCGTAGTTAAATTGTTTCTCTGTCCATAGGCCAAAGTGACCACGTAGAGAGAGAAAACTCAATGTTAGTCCTCAATGTGCATTAGGTCAACAAGGTCATTTTGCCATCTCTGTGTTCACATCCTCACAGTAAAACTTCTACTGCTGAATGCCATTCAGAAATTAAATCCCTTGAGTAGACCTGCTTTGAAGACCTTTCCACAGAGGACAGGATTGTTGCTGGAGTTGGGAGCTGCCCAGAGATTTCCAAGGTAACTTCAGCCATTGAGTGCAATGGAATCCATTTCTTTCCCATCTTCAGACATCTAAATACCCCTCCATGGAGGTGCAGATCATGTGTAGTGACATTGAAACTGTTCACAGCTATGTTTGCTCTCTTTGGTTAGCTTGATGGGAATCAGCTCATGGATGAAGACAACTCCATTACAATGAGATGTCTAAGTATGAGCCAGATGTCTAAACTCTGTTACAGAGATCTAGAGCAAAAAAACCTGTTTAGCTGAAGGTAGGTGTTCCATGTTTCATTTGGAACATCCCAGGCTATCCATTGATACATGTGTACAAAATGGTTGCAGGGGCATGTTAAAAGGCATAAGCCGGGAGCAGAAGTAAATACTGGGAAAAAAAAAAAAAAAAACAACAGACAGAAAGCAAAGTTCTGCCTCCCCTTCTCCCCTGGGGAACACAAGATATTTACTGTGGTTCTGTGCATCATCAAAATTCAGACTAACATTTGTCCTGGAGGACAAATCACACACCACCCAATCCCTATGGTGTGCTGGGAGGCAGAGTCCCCAGTGGGAAGAAGTAGAGATGGTAACCCATCTAGAAGTCCCACGACACAAGAAAATAAAAGGTCTAAGAGCAAAATGTTCAGTTTTGTTCACTTCAATAAGCCAAACTTATCTAACTTCAAAGATTTCTTCTGTACAACCCTGCTGGATAACAGGTATCTTGGGGTTTGAAGGCTGGGGAGTAGGCATAAATTTTTGTGTGCGTGCATTTTCTGGAAACACTGCTTTCCTTTTATTATGCCCAGCTCTCCCATTTCCTGTTCACAATGCCATCCCAAGCAGAACATTTCACACAGTTTGAAAATTGCTGAACTTTCTTCACTTGTCTCCCTTATGTAAAGAAAACTCAAGCAAGGCATGGGCTCTGCCCAAGATGAAGTCAGCTGATAAATGCAACCATCTCAGTAAGACCTTAAACCAAGAATCCAGGTATTTCACCAAAAAATAATTCAAGTCCAGCACCTGTGATCTATATTATCTCCCCCTTCCTCCACAGATATTTCATGGATGGAGAGGAAAACCCCAAGGCCCAACATTCAATTCTGAATTCTTACTGAAATCTAACCATAATTAAGTAACAGCACCACTGCTCAGAGATAACGAAGCTGCCTGTTTCATCCCCATTGCTGTCTCCTTGCAGATCCGTCGTTGCTATGAAGGCTAATAAAATAACACATGGATCAGAAATTTGAGTTGTTTTGTGGAGGGATGATGTTTTTCTCAGAAAGAGAACGTCCCAAATCCAGCGTTGTCCACAGCTAGAATGCTTCACGAGGTGACGTGGTTGTAAGCATAATAACATTATAATTTCTCCTTGTGAAACTGAGTCTTCGGTTGCAGAGTTTCAAAGACACCTGAGATGAATGCAAAAAAAGTAAAACCAAAACGAAAGAAAAGACCCACAAAAACCCAAAGCCCAGCTTTACACTCATTTGAACACCATACTGACACAGTGAAACTACAGTTACATTGAGTTATCCCAAAAGCTCTTTGTCATTTACAAGTTGCCTTGGCGCAGATTGGAATTTCACAACAAACTACTGGAGAAAGGAAATGTCCTTGGGTTACCCTGTTTTTATTACAGCAAAGTAATTTTAATGGGTTTAAAAGTCTTGCTACCTTGACAGCAGCAATGTTAATCTGTGTGTAAATTGCCACTGTTTTATGCATGTTTATTACTACAGTTTTCAGCTGGTGATTCATAGCACAGATCCAATTTAACTTTGGCTGCTGTGGCATTTTCATTTCTAACCTATTTTAGGCATACAAAAGTATATGTTGCTTCACAAAACGTTAGCCTGTGGGGGCATGACAGCATATAGATATGTTTTCTTATGGAATTATATTTATGCATATGTATTATTAGATAAGTTTACAGAGATACACGTAGAAACACATAAATGAGTATATATATTGTACTTCAAATACTCATTTATGCTCTCTTGGCAAAAGCATTCCTCTGCCCAGGATAAACTTCAAACCCAGGCTGCATCTCATATCTTCCTAAGCCAAAAGATGCCACCCAAAAGATGGTATGTAAAGCAAAGCTGTTGAATCAACATTTCATTACCCATTAGTTAGGGAAGTATGGTTAAGGTCGTGGTTGGACTCCATGATTTTTAAGGTCTTTTCCAACCTGAGTGATTCTGCGATTCTATGATTCAACACACACATGAAAAAAATCAGTAAGGAATTTTCTAATCATCCATTCCTGAAATTAGTTAACCTGCATGGATGTGGAGTCTCCATCACTGGAGTTCGGACAAATATTTGTCTTGGGTGCTGTTTTAGATCAGATGAATCTTGGTGGTGGGGCAAACTAAGCCCTCTTGGTTCCCTTTGAGCCTTACCATTCTACATTCTGAGCTTTTTCTTATGTTCTCTTCCCTACTCTACATACAGGGCATTAGAAAAACATTTTTTCTAATCTTGTGAGTTGGTCATCCATTGTGAACTGCACTATGGGTGTTAACCCCATCTCCAGCTTTTAAAAGCTCCATAGGTGTAGGGAATTAATTAAGGTAACCCCCACCATCATACACAAATGCACCATCAACAACTAAAGTTCAATTCCCAGAAAGAAAAAAAAAAAAAAAGAGCAACAAAAAAATAAATCCTGTACCAGCACATACATGGAAACAACCAGCTCAGTTGTTGAGAACAAATTGCATCTAATCAGTATAAGTATTTCTAGAAGGAGAAAACATGCCCCATATATACAGCAGGTGATCAGTCAACTACACTGACTTTAACAGCTCTGTGTTTCACATGACAGTCTCACAGAAGAAGAAAATGTAATTTGGTTAGAAGTATTGCCAGCTGAATGCAGAACCAATGGGAAATCCATACCTCAGATAGGTCTGGCTTTAAAATATTTGGATATAATCAGGATTGACTCAGATTTCTAAGGAGACTTCACGTGGTCCATCAAGACCACAGCCTCAGATCCTCCTCTGAGCTCTATTTTTAATCTGGACCCAGATGATATATTAGAGATTGTGTTTATGAAAACTAAAGAAATTATGGAAGAAGGAACTATGAGGATTATGGTGGACAGGATTAGATTCTAATTCAGGATCCAAATGGTCCTGGCTACATTAAGGAACAGTGTATGGGAACTATTGAGTCACGGCCTGAACCTCTGATTGATCGCCTGAGGTGAGCCATGAGTCAGCCAGAGGAGCACAGGTGAAGGCAATTCTCCTGTGCTGCCAGAAGGGGTGGAGACTGGCTCCACCTCTCCTAGACCTATTTAAGAGCTGGCTACCAGGGGGGAAGGATCTTGTCTGGAGATCCCTCCTTCTGGTGTTTTGTGGTGAGCCCAACTAAGGGTAAGGCTTCAATTTATTCTCTTTTGTTATCATAATCTACTTTGCCTAACTCTCTTGTTTATTTTGTGATTGTGACATCTTAATATTCATTGATTATGCAACAGTTTCAGACAAAGTGATGCCCTTGACCTGATTTGGCAAACGTAAGATTTAACGCTTCAGTGGGAAGAATCCGCTTTCTTCCTTTAGCTTTCCTTTCTTTGAAACTGCAGTTAAAGCTGAAGACCTCAGGTATTCAGTGAAAATACTTCTGATAAAGGTTGCTAGATTCAGTGGACTTTGGAGTTCAACATAATAATCCACACCAGAAAAAGGAAAATAAAGGTTCCCCATCAACAACTCAATGTGTGAGGTATTAACATGCAAAACTTTGGAGAGACTAAAAAAAATGTTATAAAAAAAAAAAAAAATTTTTGCATATGTGTTCTAGCTCAGGGAGAAGTAATGGGCTTGATGTAGAAGTTTGTACTCCTGCTCTTCCTATAGAGGAGGTCAGATTAATTTCTCATAACGTGCTGCTTGGTCTATATTTTTATGCCTGACCTGGCAAGTCCTGCTGAGCTTAAAATATTGCCCAGACATTGCACCTGTTTTGGTGAAAGGAGAAAACAGTTTGTTAGTGCTGAACCTCCTACTGCTGACCCAAACGGACCTCAGTACAAAGATCTCCTCTCCTTCCCTTTATGATTTATACAAATGTAAATCTTTTTATCTTTTTCCCTTTTCCTTTAAAGCAATCACTGATAGTGCTTTCACTGCTCTGTTTGATCTAAGACTCTCAAAGCAAGAGGCTCACCCAGCCTCTCTCATACAGAGCTGCAGTGCAGGAAGCCTTTTTCTCCTTTGTTCAGCACTCAGCTGAGAGATTCCTAATTTATTTGAAGACATTTCCAAATCCTTCCTCATTTATTTTGGTTCCCAATCCCTCCATTGGTTACTGCCTCTTAAAGAGATGCAGGGGCTGTAATGTTTTTAAGATACATTAGGTACTTGTTGCCTAGTGCAGTATGGATTTTGTTTTTTTCATATTTACCCAAATCATAATTGGGAATAAGCTTATTTATGCCAAGCCTGAGATTTATCTGTTTTTCGTCTGTTTGTTTCACTTTGCAAATTCCTCTGAAGTGATGTCATCCACTGAGCTGTGATGGGGTAAAGTAAAAGATCTTCTGCTTTAATAATTCATTGAATAAATGGAGAAAAAAAAAAAAGTAGATTAAACAGGCACCTTTCACAGTGGAGAAGGGTTGTTAGAAATTCCCTTAAGGTGGTGCTGGAGCCCACACTGGTCACAGTATTCCAAAAAGATCCTGGGAAAGATATAAACAGGTTGGTAGTTATCTGTCATTATTCAGGGCAGTCAACAGTTATTCTAAATGCTTGTAGAAGAGATCTCAACATATTACATTGCCAGGTGATGAATGTAGTGCTAATGAGGGCAAAATAATATAGATGAGGAAAAAACTATGCATACGTGGTCATGCACTCAAAAGCAGTCATTAGCATTCAGCGAAGAGATGCTGAATCTTTGTGAATAGCTGAAATGAGAACCTCAGCTCTGTACCCAGCAATGGTCAAAAAAGGCCAGAACATTGTTAGGGATTATTAGGAAAAGAACTGAGAATAAAGGAAAAAAACATCATCATGCCGTGCACATAATGATAGTATGCACTTAGTGATATCCCTGGTGGAATGAGAATTGAAATTGTTGTGTTAACTCTGGCTGTACACTGTGAGGAAAGATGTAATAGACTCAGGAAAGTTTAAGCAGAGAGGATTAATGACCAGAGTTCTGGAAAAAACTTCAGACAGGCTGAGCAGGATGGGAATCTTTGGCTGTAGAAGAGGTGGTGAGGATGAACGTGATGATCTACATGCTGTATGTAGGTGAATTACACCCAATTTGCAGTTAGGGAGAGAAAACATGGAGTTGGATGGGCATATTTTTTAATGATACATCACCAAAAAATACTGGTGAATAAAACCAGATCATGGAGACTCACAGAATCGTGGAATCATTAAGGTTGGAAAAGACCTTCAAGATTCCCAAGTCCAACCCATCCCACCATGCCCACTGATCACATCCCTCAGTGCCACACCTCCACAGTTCCTGACCACCTCCAGGAATGGTGACTCTACCACTCCCTGGGCAGCCTGTGCCACTGCATCACTTTTGGAGAAGAATTTTCTCCTAACATTCAGCCTGAAAGTTAACAAAAAAAAATACCAGTCTTTTTCTGGATTTCTCTGAACTCTTTCCAAAACAAAAAAAAAGATGTAAGTATCATCAGCTAGAAAAAAAAATTGTGTGCTAACATTGCTGATGAGTAAAAGTAGCTTGTCATTATAAGCAGAAAACAAATGGAGTGTAATCAGAGGAATCTAGACATAGGGAGATTGAGTCACTTTTATGCTAATTCATCTTCATCAGACCTCCCCAGTGGATACATAAAATGGTCTATTTATTGCAACTGAAGTTTATGATAAAATCACAATCATATTTTCTAGCTCTTGTAAAGGTATGTACATGGGTATATACAAAAACTTGTTTTTCTCTCTTTTTTTTCCCTCCATAAATTCTCCCCATTTCTTTCTCTTTGGAAATCATTGCTTTCAAGATAGGTAAACATAAATAATTTGCTCAGCTGTGCAAGGGTCAGCTCACATGGGCACCACATCTCTGCCTCCTTAGTCCCAAACTGACCCAGCTCTGAAAAATGCTTTCTTTAGTGTTACCAACTCGTTAACCACGTGTTGCTCTTCTGCAGTGCTCTGAGCTGGTTCTAGACACGTGGGCCATTCTTGAATCACAAGCATTGCTCCTTTCATCAGTTACCCAATTCTGATGGCTCTGTTGTCACGATGTCTTGGTTTTGTAGCTCCAAGACGCTCAGTTCCCTTCTTGTCTTGGATCCAAATGGCAGTGTTTCATTTTCTATTATTTCCCTATCCCACAGTGTCAATCTAATATAACAGGTGTGACAGCAATTGCTTCACGCTGCTGAGGTACACGACTTCATCTACCATGTTCTTCCTCTTCTCTTTATCCTCCTCCTTAATGACTCCGAGCAAAGAGGAAGAAAACTGCTGCAGTTACCAAAAGGCTCTGGTCTGAAATAGCTGAACTTCAATAAACACCCAAAATGCAGCTTTTAACCACAAAATGCCCCGTCTAAGATGGTAAAATCCACTCTAGAGGGAATAAATGTAAATCTTACAGTTATTCTGACTGTTCAGAAGGATTGTTAATAAGCATTCCCTTATTAAAGTCCACTGATCCTGTAGCTGATCTCCCCTTGTGCTTTGCCTCTCTTGGTTCTGGCCATCCCTGATCTCTTTCAGAACAAGAAGTGCTATGGAACTCATCATTATCTCTATTTATCCCTTTGAAAAATCTTGACTGTGGTCAGATTGGAAGTGTTCAAGGACAGGCTGGATGGGGCTCTGGGCAGCTTGATCTGGTGGGGGGCAACCAAGAGGTGTGATGAGATTAGAAGTCGTGGTGCTGGGATCTGGGGTCTTGGGTCCCACTGGGCAGTCATGGCACTGAAGGATCTGCTGACGACCTAATGGGGCATGGACAGCAAAAATAAGCCCAAGTCACCTAATCAGGTTGAATTCCCCATGTATATTAAGGCAATTGCAACATTTTCATTGTACCCATGAGCCCAAAATTATGAATGAAGTAATGGTAGGAAGGGACAAAGCTGAGATGAGAACAGATTAATCTGTGTGTGCCTATATCATAAAAAAGAGAGCCAGCAAAGTGCAAATTTGTCCCTCTGCAAATGGCACAGCGTATACAGAGAAGCAGTCCCTGTATGCTATCAGGGCTTTGATTTTCTGGAAAAGGGCTGAGAAGTCTAGAAGTCCAGAGCCCCAGATCTCAGCTAAGACTGTCTGCATGGCTTTGGCATTATTTTTAAGACTAAGCATTGATTTTTATCTGAAGGCCCTATCAGCATTAGTCAGCATCCCACTATTTATAAAACCTGGTGTTTTGTTGGCTTTCTTGTCTGCAATTACAGAGTGAAAAGAGGTTTGTATTGACCTGTCTGTGCTGATGCAGAAGCGTCACTCTCGAGCAGACACAGGTTATCTGAGAACCCTGTCCTGTCTGATTTGCTTGATTTCCCCTCTCTCCTGAGTTAGCTTACGTTTTACCAGGGCTTAACCTCCTCTGCCGTGCTATTAATTCCCTTGTTTATGCATCTCTGAAGCTCCTCCTTGCTTTTGGCTACCTAAATTAGCTCTGTGCCATCAGCAGATCCATCTGCTTCTCTTTCCAAGCCAGGTATCAGCACATTAACCAGCACAGCTGGGACTGAGCACCCTACCTGCCTGTTTAATCCTCCTCTTTACTTTCTCCTAGGACAGCTGCAGAGCCACAAGAACAGTTTCCCACTCATCCTGCTACCCCTAAGTTCCCTCAGGAGGGCCTTTAGGGCCTCTGACCTGGTTAGAAACCTTCCGGATCTCCAAATGCACAGAGTGGAGCAGGTCTCCTTCAGCCACCATTTTCCTGGCATGGTCATTGAGTCACAATTCCTCAGTGGGAGCCAGTGGGCTCATGCTCTCCAATCATCAGCATCTCTCTGTGAATTTCATTATCCTGCTTTTAAATATCATTTCAGACTGATTTCCCTAGGACAATTGTAAAGAAGGATGAGCTGCAATTCCCTCAGTCACACCTTAAGGCTTTTCAAATATGTGTGATCCTTCCCTATATCCCAGTCCTTGCATGTGGTTGGACTTGATGATCTTAGTGGTGTTTTCCAACCTTAATTTTTCTATGACCTTTTCTTTACTAAGTCAACCATGTCCTATCTAAACCGCTTTATAATGTCTTGCCAGGTGCTCTGGACCACCCAGGAAAGTCCTCCTGAGATAAATTGAGGGTCATTTAATGTTCATGGCTGGGTTTCTCTCCAACAAGCAACAAGGGCAGAGAGCTCTCTTGTCTGCCCCATTCATATTTTACCCCAAAACCAAAACTGCAA